ATAATCAGGAAACAGTACTACAGGAAGCAATCTTATTACTAAACTCCTTTTAACCAAGACTTTCTCCTATGTGGTGAAGTAAATAAGTGATGGGGTGAGCTGCAACATAAATCAGCCAACATTCAGGTAAGTCTCTTTCTTTAGTAATACACAACTTTAAAGAAAAACCATTCAGATTACTACAAAGAAACATTTAAAATGAGCTCATTAAATGCAAATTAAAACAGAAACATTGAATAAGCACTGGGCTGCAATTAAAGGCTAAAGAAACAGCAGGTAAGAAACAATTTTCATTGATCAAAGAACTGAAAGCTAAGAGAATAAAGTATTTTGCATTGAGACTGCTTCATGAATATGAAGCATTTCGAAGTTAAGAACTTTTACTTTCTTATCCTTTTTTTTCATTTTTCAAAGAAGCTTCGGAGGTAGGAATGGATTTGCATATCTTAATACAAAGTACTTCCATTGTATCATTTTCTTCAAGCAATGAAGCTTTGGACTACAAAAAAAAAGTATTCAGAAATGAGGCCAAAATTGTAAAGGGCATAGAACATTTTTAAACCTTTGAACCCAAAAGAAAACTGTATATAATTACATGAAATGTTCTACACAAAAGTTTAATAGAAGCTATTTCGTGACCTAATCATAAACAGAAGGTTTAGGTTATATAGACGTTGAGTTGCTTTCAGTGAAAGTTATTAAAATAACAAGCAGCAATACATGTATATTCCACTAGAAATATAAATGCCAAACTTTAAAATGTACTACCTACAAGCGTTAAAACAGTTTGATGTGGACCAATCTAACAGTAAAGCTAGACTGCACCCTCATGAGGGAACTTTTTGTTTTCTTGATGCTGGTGCCCTTAGCACTGAAAGCAGGTCTGAGTACACAGTAAACACTCGGTCCTGTTTCTGTAAAAATGTCTGGTTTTGGGGGGTATGTTTTTGTAAAACTAACTTTACAAAACAAGTAAGGAGCAGATATTTTAAAAGCTTATTTTACAGCTAAAATATATCCCTAAAGAAGGAGCCAATAAAAAGACTTGCTGGCGTGTCACACTGATCATCTTGTCACAGAGGGTGGTCACTAGGACAGCTGTGCAGCATGTACACTGAAAGGCACTAAAGCCACGGAATGCTCACTTATTGGAGTTTTTCTACATAATTGGTGTCATAAAATACAAGTCTAGAGCAATAATTACTGTATATCTGTACACACAGGAGGTGTAAATTAAGAAATATTATGTTAGACAAGGTAAAGAAAATATTATTACTATTTTAATTAAGCAAATATTTCCTTCCTTCCTTCCTTCCTTCCTTCCTTCCTTCTTTCACTTTTTTTTCTCATAGTGCTAGAGATTGAACACAAGGCCTTGAGCATGTTAGCAGGCAATCTACATCTCAAATATACCTCTAGCCTGAAAACATTTTTTTTTTTGGGTCCGGTTGTGGAGCCTGAACTCTGGGGCTGGACACTGTCCCTCAAGCTCTTCAGCTCAAGGCTAGAGCTCTACCACTTGAGGCACAGCGCCACTTCCGGCTTTTTTTCTTTTTGCTTATGTGGTGCTGAGGAATCGAACCCAGGCCCTCATGCTTGCAAGGCAAGCACTCTACCACTGAGCCACCTTCCCAGCTCCCTGAAAACATTTTTAAAGTATAAGCTATATAATGTTTTGTGTGTACGCTGGAACTGGGGTTTGAACTCAGGATCTGGTGCTCTTGCTGGCCTTTTAAACTCATGGCTGGCAATCTATCACTTGAACCATACCTCCACTTCTGACTTTTTATGGATTAATTGGAGCAAAGAGTATCTAGGACTTGTCTGTCAAAGCTGGCTTTGAACCTCCATCCTCACATCTCATCTACCTGAGTAGCTAGGATTACAGGTGTGAGCTCAGCATCCATCTTAAGACAGTGAATTTGAACTAAAAAATCTAATAATTTTACTTCACCATTGTATGTATGTATGCATACATGCATGTACTTTAAGAATATTAACATCTAAACCTATATAACATTTAGAACAATGTTCAATGTCACTATTACAATTACATTTTTAACATAAATATTTTTAAACTATGAGTTTCCAAGAAACTAATCTTTAGGATTCTCCTTAAAAGGAAAGGATTTAAATGAAGTATAAAAGTATTATCCACACGAGGAGGATGTAGCAACTAAGGAGAGCACGGTAGGAAGGGGTCCAGGTAGTAGCCCTCCCATCCATAGAAGAAATAATCCCTAGATATCCTAGTCTCCAGATGATGACTGAGTAAAGACTATATATGACGTCTTTGTTTCCTGGCTCCAAGGTTTAGTTACAAAACAGCGATCACTCTCTGTTTCTGTTGACTTGCTCTCACATTCACCTGTCTTGACACTGATCAACATACTCAGGTCCAGTTCAAATGTTTATTAAAAGTGGTCCCAGATAGTCTTTGACAAGCCATCCTGCATCTTTCCTTCTGCCACTCTAAGATATCCCTGGATCTTGCACACAGGACAAGAGATAGTTTTTGAGCTGCTAACTGTAATACATGTCCAGGATACAACAGGAAAAAAAAAATGTGTCCATTGATGGAATTAGGCAATACAACTAGTTGAATAAGGCAATTTATTGTACATTGTCCATATGGCTTTTATCTACTTTTATAGGTAAAACAATAGCTAAAGAAAAAGAACACCTTCTAAAAACATGCCTTTTCCATGTTATTATCAGCATGATGAAATGTAAATATCACAGTTCTTCCTTCTTGAAAATCTATATAAATCTAAAAAGGGTCTATCATCTGAGTTATTTACATAACCATATATTATATTAATTTGTAATTTATTATATTAATTGATAATGTCTGGTCTTCAGTTCCTGATGTAATATAACTTTATACCAAATCTAGATTAAGATAAATTACGCTAAATTGTTTGTCTTCAAAATAAGGCATAGTTTTTTCTTATAAAATATTGTGTGGATTTTGAAAATGAATCTCTTCTCCGATTTAGTTCAAGTTTATGTTGATAAGTGAATCATATTATGTATATATAATCATTAGGTATTATACTATAGTATTATAATATATATATATAACTTAAGAGTCTCAATAAACTATAGTTTTCTCTTAATTTGATAAGTATCAATTCACTCATGAAAGACATACCATGCTAGAAGGAAAGTTGGGTAATATCCATAGGTTTCATCATTGCTGCATTAGTTAACTGGCAGACCCCTCCCCCCATAGTGATATATAAGTAAACCGTTTTACTATTTAACTTTATTTCACAAGTTAAAGCAGATTTCAGAAGTGTCTTCAATGCATAAGACACATATCTTAAAAAATCTGCCTCTTGGGCTGGGAAGGTGGCTCAGTGGTAAAGAGCTTGCCTTGCATGCATGAGGTCCTGGGTTCGATTCCTCAGCACCACATAAGCAGAAAAAAAAGCCGGAAGTGGTGCT